AAGCTCGTTTGCCATTAGTGTTATGGCGTAAGCGCGTTGACACGAGTAGAGTAGTCTGTCCAAACAGCCGGCCAAAAGGCGTCATATTCAATCGGAGAAATGCACAATTTTCGACTTCCTTAACTCGTAGCTCTGTTGCGCCAATTACGAGTAACGTTATCACATCAGGTGCGCAGAGGTGTGAGAAGTACTCAGATCTTGTAGTTAAAGGAGATGTGTCATGCTTTTCCGGTTATTACCCGTCCCCTTGTGTGTTATGAAGGTTTTTATGCATGTAAACGGTGTGCAGAGTCAAAACCCTCAAAGTACACCCTGTAGCGAGTAAAACTCTAACACAGAAAATACCTCCCCAAAACGCCTCGTTGGAGATACGCCATTGTCCATTTGATTCTTCCGGGTACGGGATGATGTACTCCCGTACCCGGAACGAAATGGACCAATCTGTGGAGCCGTTACGTTACGTCCGCAGAGCCGTTACGTTAAGCCCCTGCTGATTGGTCCAAATTGACCAATCCACGGACTTCCTCACACACAAGCAGCTCTGCTGATTTCTCATCCCTGGCTGCAGGCTGATAACAGACAGTTGGGATCGTGGCAAAATTCTCTCTGCAGACCCATATCAAGCCACACTTATTGTTTTTACTTCGACTGTGAGTTTGTGTGTGCTCAGGATGAATTTGGCTGTGTTTCGCTATGTATGCTAAACAAGGAAACAACACCTCCACGGAGCTCAGCGCGATTCACAACGTCCCGACCAATCAGAGCACACTGTGCTTAACGAGCCGTTAAAGGCAGAGAGTGAAATTCAGTGAATACAAGTAGTTTACAGAGATGCTGTATGCGAAACCAATGTGAGTTTGGAAAAATGCACAGTATAAATCTATTTTAGTATACCTCAACAATGGAATTATGATCAGTGGAAATGGCCATGACACCTCTCCTTTAAGTAAAAATACCATAGTGTATGAATACTCTGTTACAGTAAAAGTCCTGCATTCAAAATGTTCCTCAAGTAAAAGTATAAAAGTAGCGACAGTAAAAGTAGTCATTAGGCGCGTTCACACCAAGTACTTTGCCGTATTTAGTGCCGGCACTCAGTGCCCCGGCACTTATTACCCCAGGGCATTTAGTACAGATCGCGTTCACACCGGAGTACTTTTCCCTGAGGGAAGATTACGCAAATGAGCCGCTGACGTCACTTCGTCTTCTTCTGCTTTGGGTTTACTGGCAGGCCGCAAACAACTTCACGGCATATACTGCCACCCGGAGTCCCCGGCCGGAAGTCCCCGGAGTTGGGGACTGGCTTCAGTAGAAGCTGCTGGGACTCCCAGCAGCTTCTACTGAAGCCTTCCGAGTAAATCGCCAGAACGCCGACACCTCCTCATCTCCACCGCTCCCATGTTTTATTTTGTGTTGCCATAAGTTAGTCTCTCTGCGTTTGTGCATTGGGCGAATGCTAATGCTAATAATGCTAATGCCAGGATAATAAAATGGCGGCTCTACACAACATTTCAGAGTTGAACGGGGCGTGGTTTGCAATTCGCCCAGCCAATCAGAACTGGGGCACTTTTTTCCCCCAGGAAAGTACCATCTCTCAGCAGGCACTAAAAATGGGGGTAAAAGTTCCCGAGATGAAGTGCTCTTTTTGGTGTGAACGCGACATAAGGGGTACTAACGGAACTAAACGCGAAAAGTACGGTGAAAAGTACTCCGGTGTGAACGCGGCTATTGTGCAGATTGGTCCATTCCAGAATAATATATATGATATATTTTATAATTATTGATCATTAAAGTGTTATCTAAGCTGGTAAAGGTGCAGCTAGTTTTAATGACTTTGTATACTGCAGGGTAGCTTGTCAATTTACTCCAGGTGGAATTAAAGTCTGATTTAAGACTTGTTTATGTTTCACATCATTAATCCACATCTGTAAAGTAACTAAAGGTATTAAATAAATGTAGTGGAGGAAAAGTACATCATTTACCTCTGAACTGTAGTGGAGTAGAAGTACTAAGTAGCAAAACATTTAAATGTAAAGTACAAGTACCTCAACATTTTACTCAAGTACAGTACAATATAATAACATAATTATACATATTTTATTTATTTATTTCACATGTAAATAAAGCAATGTTAATTCGGTTAACAATTTGTTTAATTTTTCCCTTTAAAAAATAACAAAAAGTACCTACAAGAATACCGTTAAAGTACCGGATCGATAAGCAGTTTCGATAAGAGTAGTAGTACCGTTAAAAACCTTAGCGATACCCATCCCTATATATTACACAAGTAAAGTGTTAAGAGAATGAAATGTTGCTTTACGAATTTCAACACTTGATGCAGTCACATTGATTCCAATTTCAGATACCTGTATTTGCCTAACTTAATTAGTTTAAAGAGAGAAAACATTTTGACTAAAAGTTGACTAAAACGTTTTGAGTTTTCGTCGACTAAAACTACGAAGGATAGGAATGACTAAAATGTGACTAAAACTAATAACCATTTTCGTCTAAAGACTAAGACTAAATCAAAAACAGCTGCCAAAATTAACACTGGCTGTGACTCTTTGTTTCAAAAGTAATGGCTAGGTAAAAATACGTATTAGAAGTAAATGTCCTGCTTTCATAATGGTCAATTGCCCAAGTGAAAAGTATTATCATCTGAAAGTAAAATTAATCATTATGTTATTAGTATTAAATACATATAAGTATTTTTACAACTTATATTTAGAAATACTCCGTTGTAATTATTGATGCATAAATGTGTTCATCCATTCAATGTGGCATCTGCTATAATGGGGTTAATGTATGATATTACTTAAAGTGGACCTATCATGCTATATTTAAATGATATATTGTAAGGCCATACCTATATAAGGTATATTTATACGTTTCTGTTTTCAAAATACCAAACAGATCATGCATTTTAGCCATGCCTCATTTCGCTCTATGTGCTGTTTGCTGTCTACGGGTCTGATTCTGCTGACCACGCCCCCCTGCAGGAGAGGTGAGCCGTGCTCTGATCAGCTGCTGGGCTGTCAGAAGAGGGGGAGAAAAAGAGATCTCCGTCCTCCGTGTTTTATTATATAGAGTCGTTATTCATTTGTTTTAAAGCTCAATAAATAACAAAGAAGACCTTTGACCGGCACTGTTCTAATTTTGTCCGGAAGATTTAAACTTTAACGGACATCTTGACCGGCGAAAGTAACTGAAACAAACTCTGCTGCACGGTCCCCTCGTTCCTTGTAAGAGGCGGAGAGGTGGGTGTTTGTCATCTGCTGGTGGACTAACCGGAGAGAATTACAGTGCTTGCCTCGACGGGGAGGGATTGCATTGAATTAAAGCAGCGGGAGCAAACGCTTGCCTCGGGGAGGGAGAAAAAAAGCCACAGCGGAGAATGAACAGAAGGGTAACCATGGTAACTATGGGCGGGAAGTCTTCTTCGCTGCTTTTGTGGCAGACTACAGCGCCACTTACAGGCCTGGCATATGTACTACAGCGTCTCCAGCGCTTTCGAGCGGCAATGGCCGGCCGTGGCCCAACCCCACATTCCCCTGATAGGTGGAGAGTTGGCCCAATAGCCGTAGTGCCACTTCTGTGACGACATAGAAGTGTTCAAATCTGGATCAGTCTGTATCAGATCCGTTGCAGCCCCTTTTTTAGAGATTTGGGTATGGAGGAAAATAGAGAGGGTTGTGTTTTCTGACACATGGTGAGTTCCCTGGAACACCGGGGACACATATTCATGTATAAAAGACGTACAAAAGTGCATTTTGCATGATAGGTCCCCTTTAATAATACAATACATTATAATATATGATAATCACATTTTTAATTAATTTCTTATTTCATAGTTTCTCATTATTATTATTTATTTTTTTATCGCTGATCTTATTTTAGATTGTATTAATCTGTGTGAATCTGTGCTATCCTGTTTTTCACTCTCACCCTGTTGCTGTTTGAACAACTGAATTTCCCCACAGGGATTAATAAAGGTCCATCTTATCTTATCTTAATGTATAAGTTGATTTACTTCGATCTACTGTACTGTGTAAAAACACCACAACAATATTACAAAAAATATACTGCAAAAAGCAAACTATTGTAAAGGTAAAAGTATGAGCATAAAAAATAAAGAAGTGTAAACATTTACATTATTATTATTATTTAATATATAAAGACTATATATTATTGAATTACAATTAAGATAATAAGATTAGATATACTTTATTTGATCTAAAATATTGATGTTTTTTCGTTATAGTTGCCTGTGAAAACCATAACAAATAAGTGATTAAATGCTACAGTATTCAGCAAACACAACTGCAGAGCTGCAAACAAACTAAGGTCTACAACACCCAGTTGTCTTTGTGTATTTGTGAATGAAGCGCCATCTCATGGTTAAATCCTGTAATTGAAGAAATGGGGAAATTTGGCAACGCCCTCTAGCAATTTGGCAACGCCCCCAGCCACTGGGATCCGCTGGGTTTTTGGTTGGAATCCGCTGGGTGGAGTCCTATCTGAAGTGCTACATCTGTAGTGCTAGCAACATGTATACCGTTAGCAGCCTGGCTAATGTTACTGTCAAAGGCAATTAAACAAATACAAATAACGGAAAGGACAAAAGAAAACCTATCTCAGTGCTATAATGAGGCAGAATAAAACACCTGGTAGTGTTAATAAGTATGGGGGTTCTTTGCCTCCTCCAGCAACTGGACTCTTTAGCCGTGTAGAGGTTTCACATTTCTCTTCTTTTTTTTTGCGCTATACAGGAAGCTACTGTCGATTTTTGTCGAATTGCCAGTTAGCCAAAATGCTATTTGCACTTTATTTTTTTTTAAGGAATTTTTTATCCTAGAATTATTTTTATATTACCTCGAAATAATATAATTTGACATGCAAATCAGTGGAGTCCCCCTTGAAGCTATCTTTAAACTTTGCTGTTAAAGATAGTTGAGGATGGAGATCTTATTTAGTGCCTCTGCTCCTTTGCTGTTTTGTAGAGTTGGGCTTCACAAATTCTCTGAATGGAGAGGTCAAACCTCGTATCCTGTTGATGGGCCTGAGGCGGAGTGGGAAGTCTTCCATCCAGAAGGTGGTTTTCCATAAAATGTCCCCCAACGAGACCCTGTTCTTGGAGAGCACCAACAAGATCTGTAGAGAGGACGTCTCCAACAGCTCCTTCGTCAGCTTCCAGATCTGGGACTTCCCCGGCCAGATCGACTTCTTTGACCCCACCTTCGACTATGAAATGATCTTCAGAGGCACCGGGGCGCTCATCTTTGTCATCGACTCACAGGTCAGAGGAAAAACCACTCTAGGCTTAAGACAGGTAGTGCTAATGTGCACAATAACATGATGAGTTATATAGCCACATCCCCTCACTTCTTTCCCAGTTACAGAGACCACGACATAGACTCCAAGAAATAGTCGTGAGCTTTAAGGGCGCTGGTAGGTGGATTTTTTTAACCTTCAGATTGAGCCAGGATAGTTTTTTCTTCTTTTTAAAGAATGTATGCTACATAACCTTACAGTAATTAAAGGCTTTGATTTCAAATATGAGAGTGGTATCAATCCTCAAATCAAGGCAAGAAAGCATATCATTCTTATAACTGATTCCATTATCAATAAATACCTGGCACATTGAGCAGTGTTCTGATTTCGATCCCCTTAAAAATAAGAAATATTATATCAATTAAATGTTAATCACTACAAAAAAGGGTGCTTGCCTAATATTTCATTAGTTTAGAAAACAATAATAAGAGGTGGCTTTGCTGTCTTTTCTAAATCTTTGCATACAAATGTTTATTTATTTTTATTCCAAAGTGTACAAATACGATCAGGACATTATTGTAATTGAATGTTGTGTTCCTTATCAGCTGCCACTGATACAAAATGTGATACAAGACACAGTAAGAACATGTGTTGTCTGTGTGGATCTTTTCTCTTCGTCCTGATAGGATGACTATGTGGAGGCTCTGAATAGACTGCACCTCACGGTGACCAGGGCGTACGCAGTCAACCCAGACATCAACTTCGAGGTGTTCATTCACAAAGTGGATGGCCTGTCAGACGACCATAAGATCGAGAAGCAGAGGGACATCCACAAACGAGCCAACGATGACCAAGTGGATGCAGGCCTGGAGCGAATACACCTGAGGTGAGCTAACTATTTTTGGTTTCACAATATTTATGGATCGAATGGATACTGTAATATAACCAGATCTCAAAATGGTATATTGAGTCATAAACGTACTAATCAGATTTGATACATTTTAGACTTAGAAACCTAGGTCAGGCGTTATGTTAAATTAGACTTCAATTGCATGATGTTTCACATTTTAAGATAATACATGAATTCAGACAAATATCTCTTTTAATATTGTAATACTGTCACGGCAAAACACTATAAAATACTGTGATACAAAGTTTAGATCATATCGCGCTCCCCTACAGATGTAGCACTCCAGATAGGACTCCACCCAGCGGATTCCAACCAAAAACCCAGCGGATCCCAGTGGCTGGGGGCGTTGCCAAATTGCTAGAGGGCGTTGCCAAATTTCCCCATTTGTTCAATTACAGGAGTTAACCATGAGATGGCGCTTCATTCACAAATACACAAAGACAACTGGGTGTTGTAGAACTGAGTCTGTTTGCAGTGTTGCAGCTCTGCAGTTGTGTTTGCTGAAGAGCATTTAATCACTTATTTGTTATGGTTTTCACAGGCTACTATGACGAAAAAACATCAATATTTTAGATCAAATAAAGTATATCTAATCTTATTATCTTAATTGTAATTCAATAATATATAGTCTTTATATATTAAATAATCATAATAATGTAAATGTTTACACTTCTTTATTTTTTATGCTCATACTTTTACCTTTACAATAGTTTGCTTTTTGCAGTATATTTGTTGTAATATTGTTGTGGTGTTTTTACACAGTACAGTAGATCGAAGTAAATCAATTTATACATTAAGATAAGATAAGATGGACCTTTATTAATCCCCGTGGGGAAATTCAGTTGTTCAAACAGCAACAGGGTTAGAGTGAAAAACAGGATAGCATAGATTCACACAGATTAACAAAATCTAAAATAAGATCAGTGATAAAAATAATGAGAAACTATGAAATAAAAATGAATAAAATTAAAATGTAATTATCATATCATATATGATAATGTATTGTATTATTAAGTAATATCATACGTTAACCCCATTATAGCAGATGCCACATTGAATGGATGAACACATTTATGCATCAATAATTACAACGGAGTATTTCTAAATACAAGTTGGGCAATTGACCATTTTGAATGCAGGACATTTACTTCTAATGCGTATTTTTACCTAGGTAAATAATCTGAATACTTCTTCCACCTCTGAGTTTGGACCCTGTCACTGTTTTTAAAACTTTAATTCAATGTTTGATATTTCCAGAGACCCTTTCAGACCACTGCTGGAGAGCAGGGGGGGATGGGAGAGTTTTGTCACATTCCAATGGGCCATTACTTTTGAAACAAAGACAGTCACAGCCCTGCGTTGATTTAAGGGAGCTGTGGGGGGTGGTGAACAGTACATGGTCAATAAAGAGGCGAAGTCCCTCCCTTTCCGGTGGACCTCCATGGGACCTTATTTTGGAAAAATTATGTATTGAAGTCAATGGCGAGAGAAAGATTATCTTTCGATCCCGTTTGAATTGTGCCACGAATTACACATATGATGTTTGTCAATTTAAAAGATAATTTTGCAAGTCAAAAAAATTAAAATGTGTCGTAAAACTGTGAAGTAACACATTTGTTTGTGTGAAACGCTCAATGAACTACATCTCTGGTCTCGCACAAGTCATCACACATACATACATCACATTTCACCTCTTTCTTTCAGAATGAGGCGAAAAGTATTAAAAGAGGTGAAAATCACTACAAGTCTGGGCATGTTGAGAGCTGTATACGAAAAAGGGGAGTTAGTCGGTTCCGTAAGAGCCAGCATGCGGGACCGGCTTTACAAGGTTTCGGTGAGTAACACAAGTGTAATGTGTAATGTTAATGACATCACTTACGCAATTCTGGGATTTGTAGTCTTTCTAGTTGCGTTTTTTTCATTTTTCATTTCAACAGTTTTACGACAAACTGTGACTTTTTTGACATGGAAATTATTTGTTAAGATTGACAAACATCATATGTGTAATTCGTGGCACAATTCAAACGGGATCGAAAGATAATCTTTCTCTCCCCATTGACTTCAATACATAATTTTTCCGAAATAAGGTCCCATTGGGCGGAAGTAGAAGGGCGGGACTTCGCCTTTCTATGTTTGTTTAAGAATGTTTGCAGTCGCGAAAGCTCTAAGCCAATCGGACATGGACAAAAAAAAGGATCAGTCTATCTATGTGTCGAGGGGGAACTAGAGACACCCCTCTGCCTTTACAGCCATGGTCTGGTCTGACAGCGCTTAGCTCTCTGCTGCAGAGAGGAAGAGAAGATCACTGCTCTAAACAAAGTCAAAAATCGTACATCCAAACGGAATAAATATAATTAATTATTATTACAGGGTTCCCGCGGGGTCTTAAAAAGTCTTAAAAAGTCTTAAATTTGATAATCTGAATTTAAGGCCTTAAAAAGGTCTTAAATATGACCAAAAAAATAAGAAAGGTCTTAAATATGATTTAGAAGGTCTTAAAAATGATGGGATTTGAAAGGTACTTCTGTGTTGCGATCGCGTCTAAAATGTGTTTTGGGGGAAATGTCCGGGCTGCAAAGTAACGGTAATAGCCTTTCAGTTCCCCCCAACAATTTGTATTGAAATAAATCAACATGGAACCAGTAATCACTAACTCTGTTTCCCCCGGCCCCTTAACGGAGAACACCCAGCTAGTAACCTAGCAACCAAGCTTCAGCAAGCGGCAGTCAGAAACTCATGTCTCTTCGAATCTACTTACAAATAAATATGGGGAAGTGTAAGTTCAACCGTATTTGGTTGGAAAACATCGAATTTAGTGCTTGGTTGAAACCAGTGGAGGGGAACGTGTTTGAAGCCTGCTGCACCTTTTGCAAAATAAATTAGCGTTTGTTTGGCTAATGTAGCGTTAGCTAGTGCAGCGTTAGCTAGTGCAGCAGCTCCCGCAACAACACCGTTGGACCTCCGGGCGACGTTTGGGTCTTCGACGTCAACCCTAAAAGCGGAGGTGCTGTAGTGTATACGCTAAATACCGTAGTTAAACACCAATCATACAACAGCAACGATGAAAGATTGTAGCCAAGGCAGCAGAGCTCTGAATATAGCTCTTGTTACTCTCTCTCTCTCACACACTCACACACTCACACACTCACACACACACACACACACACACACACACACACACACACACACACACACACACACACACACACACACACACACACACACACACACACACACACACACTAGGGCTGCTCGATTATGGCAAAAATCATAATCACGATTATTTAGGTCAATAATTGATATCACGATTATTAAATAAGATTATTCATTGACTTTGAAAACATCCATTTATTGAACTTTAAAACAAATAATAATTTGAACAGTATCTTTTTAACTGTTGATTACCCTGAACGTATAATTCAACTGAAAAACCAATACAAAAATAAATTAAATAAATGATATATTTAAATAAATAATATCAAAATAATAAATACCAATAAACAAGATCAACAAATATTTTGGAGCGCACTTCCACAAGCTACTAAACATATATAAATATGATAAATAAAAATAAATTAGACTAAAATTAATTAGATCAAATATGTTGTAGTGCACTGTCACAACCTAGCAAAGCAAAATAATAGGTTTTTTCGATTATGTTTTTGTAATTGTGGCAGGCCAAAATCGTAATTGCGATTAAAATACGATTAATTGCACAGCCCTAACACACACACAAGCACACACAGAGACACATACACACTTTTTGGCTAACACAGTTCTGTACTGTTATGCTGTTATGTTCAGTCATTGTTCTTATGTTGAACATGAATACATTTGATTTGTAAGTAATTATGGGACGTATTTCTTCTTTCATAGCAATTTTCCTTCATACTTTCTTGCCGTGAAATAGGTCTTAAATTCTATTCGAAGTGGTCTTAAAAAGGTCTTAAAAAGTCTTAAATTTGAGTTGGCGAAACCTGCAGGAACCCTGTATTAATACGTTAAGTCTTGTTTATTGTTTTTCACTTTTATTAAATGTTTGATATTTCCGGCACAGACCCTTTCATACCGGCAATGCGCGATAGAAGCAACAGGAACTGCGACAGCATAAATATGCCAACACAAACCTACAGTTAAACGTTACTGCTGGAGAAGAGAGATCACAGGGCGGTTGGGAGATCACAGGGGGGGTGGGAGAGCTGTGGCTGATTGGCCATTAGGTGTGTAAACAAAGGCTGGTGCCCCACGGGAACGCATACGGCAAAACGCATAGGATTAACGCAAACGCAATCGCCAAAAAGCTTCCTTCCACACGCAATATACACTGGATAGTGTCTGTTCACATGAGACAGCTCCGTTTAGATCCAACCGCTGGAAAAGCTGCAGTACATATGCCGAGCCTGTACGTGGCGCTGTAACTTCCTCCACAAAAGCAGCAACTTCCTCCACAAAAGCAGCAAAGAAGCATGGTTGTCATGGCTGCACTTCTGTTTATTCTCCGCGGTGGGGGCCGAGGGAACCGGGCAGAGTTTTTCGCCGGTCAACGTGTGTTAAAGTTGAAATCTTCCGGACAAAATTATAAAAGTGCCGGTCAAAGGTCTTCTTTGTTATTTATTGAGCTTTAAAACAAATGAATAACGACTCTATATAATGATATATAATAATAAAATATACGGAGCCTCTCTTTTTCCTCCCTCTCTTCTGACAGTGTCTGTCTCATGCAGCAGCTGATCCAGTAATGAGTGACCCGACAGTAAAAATAAACATATTTATAACTAGTTTAGGTAGTTTGAGAGGTAATTAAAATAGCTAAGGGTGATGATCTGACTTGAAGTGTGTGTTTTGCTCCCGCTGTGATGACAGCGGGAGGAGCTGCGTGTCTCCGTCCTGTCAGATTAGACTTCACTCGCGTTTATGTCCATATCGAGATAAAGATACATAATCTGAATTCAGTGTGCAGTTTACTTTTGCGGGGGTGAGCAGCAGAGGTGGGGGGAGGCAGGGCTATTGCGTCATCATTATCACAAAATGATCGTATAGAGGCGATCACACGGAGCCGTATGACCCCCCAGAGCGCTCCGTTCCCAGATCTATCCACCTTTGGACCCGTTATCGTTTGCGCTATCCGTTTCTATCGTTTCGTTACGGCCTCGTGTGGCAAAAAGGGCTATACGCAAGAGAAATATGCGGATACAACCCGTTTTCGTTCCCGTGGGGCACCAGCCAAAGACAGACACACACACACCTGAGAGAGCTCTGCGGAGTTTCATTCAGACTATTTAAAAAAACAACGGTCTAATTTTATCATTGCACAACAATGAACTCAATGTGTGATTGTTATAGCAGTAATAATGCAGTAAACTATTAACAATAGTATAATATTATAGTAAATATTCTTGTCAATGCAGAATATGATTATATCCGTGACAGTGGGAATAAAAAACGATATGCTACAGCAGGGGTCGGCAACCCCTGGCACGCGTGCCAGCATTGGCACGCGGCACCGTAGCCAGTGGCACACTAGGAATAAGTCGAATAAGTGTGCAAAATATTTAAATTGTATTTTCGGATCCTGAACGAGACCGCCGCCAGAGCGCGTCTCCCCGTTACCTGCAGAAGGAAGCCATGCACGCAACGCAGCCCCGCTCTCTTTAACTCCAGGTGACTTTCTGCCGCTTTCCTCCGTGGTGCAGTGCTGATCGTTTCACCACGGAAGAAAGCACTTCACAAATTGCAGTACCCATAAGGAGCTTTACAAATGTCGCAGTTTTTGCGTGGCTGTGTGTGTCTTTAGTTGAAAGCCCAGTGGCGATCTGCTCATCTCTCATTGAAATAATATGCTACAAAGGGACGGACTGGCCATCTGTGTGTTGAACTTTCCTGTCGGCTCCCAGACCGTAGTCGAGGAGGGCAGAAGCAACGAGCTTCAGGTTCAATAACCCACTTTAGCTTAAATGACTGGAGAGAGGCGAGCTCTTCTTGAGAGGCCGTTGCATTTATTTAGCTGTTCTTCTGTTTCACAAAATACATCACAGACCTCTGTTTTTCTGCTGCCTCGTTTCACTTCCAGAAACATACTCACACGCACACGCCACACCCCTCTCTCTCTCTCTTAAAGGGACAGCGATCTCATCTCACTCTGCATGACCCTAATATCATAACATGTGTGTTCTGGAGAATCACAGAACGGACGATCGTCCTTATTATTATGCCGTTTAAACCAATTATTTAAATGTGTTTGTTAAATTCGGTATCATGTAAGTTGCGCTGACAGGTCCACACACTGCTTCCCCGCAGCGAGGCCCCCCCGCCCTCCTGTTGATAGATCACGAGCGTCAAGCTCCTCAACATCCTCAACACCCCCCCCCCCCCCCCCCCCCCCCCGTTGATAATTCTCGATCGTTGGCACGCTGATAATTTTTTTTTTTTTAAATGGCACTTCATATCAAAAAGGTTGCCGACCCCTGTGCTACAGTATAGTAATAAAAGATAAATCCCACTTGTTGTAGCCTACCTGGCAGAGCAAGAAACACTCCAGCCTTTTATTTAAACTTGTTTAAAACATATCTAAATAAATATGTGTGTCCCGGGCCATAAATGTAAGTATACTGTCAGTTTTCAGATAAAGCCACGGCATCACAATTCTTCTGTATTCTACATTATAGTTCTTTTCACCTCCCGTATTGCTTTTTCAACCCACCAGCTTTTATGGAGAAAATAAGTTATATAATCATTAACCAGAGGCATGTTTCTCACTATTTTATGCATAGAAACAACAGACTACTGTGTGTGTGAGGAATCAGCTGTTTATTGGTACAATGTAATGGTGGAGGTACACACATATTGATAGATGTCTTGTAATGCACTGTTGAGGAACCTGTGACCCAAGTTTTTCATTCATTGCATAACTACACCGTAGTTGTGTATAATATGATATGTCAATAAACCTTAGAAAATCTTGAAATCTTGAATGGGATGTGCAAAATAGTCATTATATACAGTCTTTAATTAACTATTAGTAGAGAATAACGACGAGTAAAGAATATACTTTATAGGGATTCTATTAATATCTAATAATAAAATTATAAAATGCAATAACGTGCTTTAACCAGTAGGTGTCCCTTTCTATCAGCTGTGCACCGTTATGGCATAAATACAGCCTATCTAACAATTGGATCAAATATAAAAGTCAGCCGAATTAGTGTTGATACTGCAAGGAGACGTATTGTGTGAAAAGAAATGTAAGATGTTGTTTAATTGCTTATATATTTAAGATCCACGTCAAGTTTTCAGTTTTGGCGGCAGTTCCTGTTTGTCTAGAAGTCTTGTCATCAGGGCTCTATACATAGAGTTAACTACGGCAGATATGTCATATTTAATGCAGCTGAAACGTATATTACAATGCCGTTATGTGATGACTTTCAAAGAGAAAAGCAAGCACACTCGGAATAATGTATTATTTAATGTTTTTTAAATGTTTTCGGATTTCACATCGCATAAACACCAAATCCCAGCGTGCATAGCGGAATATCAGTATGAGAAAAACGGCATCATCTGTCCTTTGACCCTCACATCGTACAAGGAAAAACTTCCAGAGAAAAACCCACAGTTAATATACACAAATTCCTTCACATTTAAATTAAAATTTACATTAAAAGTATTTTGTGAGGCCTTCTAACATGTTTTTAAATATAACTACGGTTGTAGTTGAAGAGTTTGTAAATTAACATGAACCAAAGCTGTTGCCTGTTGCAATATACAGTCTATGGTTGCTACAGAGGATTGTGGGTAATGTAATGTCTTCGGCCATCCAAAACACATAGAAAACAACTTGTTTCTCAGAATTGAAGGGGAAAACGTGACAAAAGCATTGTACACACACTAAAACCTATCAATGTCGTTTAATTAACAAGGATAATCTGGTGTTTTTGAGTTGATGAGTAGTGCAGATATCACTGTCAAATCAATCGACAGTAAGGGGAATACTTACTTCCGGGTGTACAATTCTCCGTTATCCAATGGGAATGGACGGTCACATTGCCTTTAACAGCCTCCGACACAAACGAATGCCGTGCTTCCCTAAGCGTCAAATACCGCCGCAGATGGGAATACATTGCAATCAGTTGAAAGCTATTTGCGTCTGTTTATGAAGCTGAAGGAGCCTCGGAGCGTCCCAACTGCACGCCACGGGACCCTGACCAAGCGTCGCTCCTGGACGTTTATGGAGTGAGAGTGTGTTGGTTTATTTCAGTTCCCCTGAGAGCTGCTGTTTTCATTCAGACTATTTAAAAAAACAACGGTCTGATTTTAACATTGCACAACAATGAACTCAATGTGTGATTGTTATAGCAGTAATATTAAACACTAATAATACAGTAAACTATTAACAATAGTATAATATTATAGCCCGTTTGCCCATGGTGAGATGACGAGGCTTCATTAAAAATAAACCTATTTTTAGTGAATTACTGAGTTTGGGCAAGTTAATACAATTTTAATGAAGTTGACTACAGTATATTCATATTTGTCAGTGCTTTCATGTCAATTCGGCGAACATAAACATAAATGATCGTGGTGAAGATGATGATTAAAATAGGATTAAAAATCGGTAGTGAGAGCCGTGAGCACTGCATTTCCTCCCGTCGGATGTGATATAAAAACAAACCGATTATTTTTGTAGTTGTAAACTCACGTGGATTAAACTACATTTATTAGTGTTTTCTTGTCAATTCGGCGAACATATGATACATTAAATGATCGTGAGGATGATGATTAAAAATCGTTTGTATGAGCCGGTCTGCATTTCCTGATAAAACAACATAGTGGGTTTTGTACTTACGCCAACGTGGATTAAACAACATTATTTTGTTAAATAAAAACATGGTGAATGTAAATGAATATGATCCTATCCGTGACATATGGATCTTAACAAATATCCGCTATATCAGATACCTCTACTGTAGATCTATCAGCTGTTTATTTTTCATTTCACATGAGTTCCAGTGTGGCAGCTTTTTAATCACTGCTCTCCCTGGTGGATCCATGATCCATTGCAGCTGGTTTCATTATAATTAAATGTATTTATCAAAGGGGCGTATAAAGTCATGCGGGGGGTTTTCCTTTCAGCGAGGGCCCACCCCATGCCGATGCGATCACGGACCCACATGGGTAAGGGCGTCCGAAATGAGTACATAATTATGTTTTACGTAAATCAACTTCCCTGGACGAACAATCATTATGCCCTAAAATCTAAAGCCAGAGTTATTTTCCCTTTTAATTCAATGGACTAATTAAGACCAGACGTGACAGGGCGGATTGGAGGCGGGGCTTAATAAAAATCTGCGCATGCTTGTACGCGAGAGTCAGGCTATTTTGGCTTTAGCAACTTTCATTGGAATGAAAAGGACCCCGCCTCCAACTCTGTATCCAGATCTCTTTATTCATCCATGGTCTTTACAGAGCTATGAAAATAAAAATGGCAAAGTTTGTTATTTAAATGTTTTCTTATTCCAATTTTTCCTCCCTGGTGTCTACAGCTTCTATTTAACCAGTATATACGATCACTCCATATTCGAGGCGTTCAGTAAAGTGGTCCAGAAGCTCATTCCACAGCTGCCCACGCTGGAGAACCTGCTCAACATCTTCATATCTGTGAGTAATCCTGCAGCTCTGGCACTACAGCACAGAGACCAAGCAGTGCTGTTAAATGACCTCAATATGTGTGAAAACTAAGACATCCTTTAAAAAAAATACAGACAGTAGAACCCTTCCACTAGTTCTACTGTATACTCAGGTTTGATCAGGCACACTACAGGATAGGGCTGTGCAATTAATCGTATTTTAATCGCAATTACGATTTTGGCCTGCCACAATTACGAAAACAAAATAATCGAAAAAAACAATTATTTTGCTTTGCTAGGTTGTGACAGTGCACTAGAACATATTTGATCTAATTAATTTTGGTCTCATTTATTTGTATTTATCATATTTATATATGTTTAGTAGCTTGGGGAAGTGCGCTCCAAAATATTTGTTGACCTTGTTTATTGGTATTTATTATTTTGATATTATTTATTTAAATGTATAATTTATTTTTGTATTGGTTTTTCAGTTGAATTATACGTTCAGGGTAATCAACAGTTAAAAAGATACTGTTCAAATTATTATTTGTATTTGTTTTAAAGTTCAATAAATGGATTTTTTCAAAGTCAATGAATAATCGTATTTAATAATCGTGATATCAATTATTGACCCAAATAATCGTGATTATGATTTTTGCCATAATCGCACAGCCCTACTACAGGATACAGTTTTGTGTGTCCTCCTGATCTTCACAATCTCATCACTAGATGGTGGCAATGCATCAGATATATTGGTTGCATTGCATGAATGCAGACATTGCATCAAATGCCACTACTGATTTTATGATTGTTACTGGAAGTATGTTACTGAATTCTTGCCTGAAATAACAAAGCAAATACACTAGATGTGCTCCCTGACATCCCTTCACAACTTACTGCAGGATACCTACAGTTATGTGGGTCTATTGTACTTCCCACTGATAGTACTAGATATAACTCATACCTCTATTACTGAAAAGTCCAAGACGCGATAAACGCCACTTTTGAAAAAAAATGAGTTCCCGCCGAAATTAGTATTGTATTTCGTCGGTATTGAAAAGTCAATATTTAATTTTACGCAAAACGCGATATCCGCCGTGTTATTCTGTCCTGTTTTCTCACTTTCTTTCCAAACAGCGACAAACGCCAGTCTCCCTTCTCTACAGAATGCGATACATCTGCTCAACCAATCACAGCGCACCATTCCACGCAGCTCAACCAATCACAGAGCATTCCATGCAGTGTAAACAATAATGGCGGCGCCCTGAATGCACCCGGCATCCTACCGGCTTTCGTCATTATCTACTTCAACAAACAATAAAAACATGAATAATTTTGACGGCACTGATGAACCTGTGGTGGTTTCTGCGGTGGGGAAGAAATGCAAGCCATCGAAATGTAATCATGTACGTGAGGAGATTAAGAAAATGAGGCACTCGGGAGGAGGAAAAATGCCGGCTGTCGCTTGTTCTCATTCTCATACAAAAGCAAACTTCTGTCACGCAGACACATTGACCCCAGGGGATCTATTAAAAAACTTTCAGTGTTTTTACTCTGGATCTACTAAAATCGAGCAGGATCAAGTTCTTTTGCAGCTGATCACTCTCAAAAAAGTTCAGCGGAGACGTCCAAAGGTTGTCAACAGCGATATGCAGAAGGATAGGGAGGTCACTAATGAATATCATTTGCTGACCGAAGATCATCCCACAAAAATTCCTGTCTGCAAGGCCACCTTTTGCAGCGTATTGGGTGAGTTTAATTTTGATTTACGAATTATATTATTCATACAGGACTGCCTGCTCTTAAAACGTGTGGATCATTAAACAACGCTATATTGATGTGATAGGCTAGACTACACAGGCTAGATCAGGGGTGCCCAACCTTTTTTGAACCGAGAGCTACTTTTAAAGTTGCCAGTCTGCCGAGATCTACCAGTCCAAATAGAGAGGCGTAGCCATTACTGACAGCCTACTACCAGGTAAATACACACTTCTACTTGTATAAAACTGACCTTTGTACGATTAATACTTCATAAAATACTGCAGATCCTTTATCTTACCTCTTTCTAATCTACACACACACAAGTATTTAACTGAAGTTACACAACAGTGTTGTTGATACAGAGTTGGAGTTTATTCACACGTCACATACTACAGTGGGTCATGTTTTCAAGAAACATTGAACAGTGCTGCCACATATGACACAGGAAAAAAAGAAAAGACTGAACCCTTTCTTTGCCATTATATAAAAATAGTGTTGCTACAAAAGTATAAATTAGACTTACTAATAAGACAACTCAGATCTGAAGCTACACAGGAATCTGCTGCCAAAGTGCAATAAAAAAGACAAAATTAATAGAATCAAACCCTTTTTTTGTTGCATTTTAGTAGAGTATAAAAATAAATGCATTTAAAATAGGATGCAAGCAACACTAGTTTCTTAACCTGAATTGATAATAGACTATAATCAATTTAAGTTTGCATTCTTATACCATTTTGTACAATCATTATAATGAATAAGTTCAAACAAACTAAAACTTACAGCTGATTAATAACGGTATCTAACTTGAGTTTTTATTATATCAAAAACCTGTTAAAATGCTACTGTTATTTTTACTGTCTCCAAAAAGCGCGTCGGCAGCCTCCAGGAATGCTTCTTTCACATCTTCGCCGTCTTTGACAGACTTCATGTGTTTTGCAAGAACGTGACTGACACGATAAGATGCTCTGGTAGCAGCCTTGCTCTTGTTGTTGGGCCTGGTGAAAATGGACTGCTGTGCATTTAGCTGTCCTTTCAGGTCCCTCACCTTTTGGGAGCGTAGGACAGAATTAGGAGGGAATTCCGTCTCGTAGCGTTTGTGCACTGTTTTGAAATGCCGCTCCTAAATTACCCTTCTTCGATAAAGCCACGCTCGCGTTGCAGATGAGACAGATGGACTTTGAATTGGAATAGATACAAAAATAATCATCCTCCCACTCGGAGTGAAAATGATATATTTTGGGCTTTTTTGCTTCTGCCATGATTGCGGTCTTGTGTGTGTGCGGACTGTCACTCCTGTTGACACGTTGACACGGACAACGTCAGCGAAATAGTGCCCACTGCCCACCAGCCACGCCCCGACACATGGGGTCACGCCGGCCAATCACAAAGCGTTGATGCGTTCAAGTGCATTATTCTGGCACAGGAAGATTATGTTATAGGACATTAACGATAAAACAGAATATTGTTGTTCTATTTTTAGACACATCTCGCGATCGACTGGGAATCTCCCCGCGATCGATCGACTGGTTGGGCACCCCTGGGCTAGATAATGACAGCTTAATTCACAACAAGCACATCACTGGCTTTTCAATGCAGCCTAGGTTATATCATGAAGTGAACGAGGCACAGCTAAGCTTTTCTGTTGAATCTTTAATGTTTAAGTTTATTGCTATTTTTTTGTTTGTTTGCATGTTAAAATGTAGCCTACTTAAGGAATGAGTATTACTTAGCCTATAGTTGTCTGATGTATTGCTTGGGCACAAATGTCCTAGCCTAGTTGGCTGGTCATCTGCCATTGTTATTTGATAAATAAGCCTACTGCAAGTTGAATTAATGTAGAAAAGTAGGCAGTAGCCTAAGTAGGTACTTACACACACAATACATAGGCTACATAAATAGGACTATATAGTTTAGTTTAGTTTATTTAGTTTATTTTTTTTTTTCGACTAGGACTATTTAGGCTATAGGTTTGCATTTAAAATGTATGAATAACTGCCATTTAGTTGTCTGATGCACTGCTTACTCACAAATGCCCTTCTTGGCCATGTCATCTGTCATTGTGAATGGATACTGTGAATGAATAAATGAAGCAATGAATGAAGCAATGAATTAATTAATTAATGTAGATAGATAGATAAATAAATATATAGATAAATACATAAATACATACATACACACATACATACTACAACCACACCTACATACATACAAACAAAATGTCATTTTTCTGTCATTGCAGGTATTGGCAAGGATCGTGTGTCTCGAGTGGCAAGGTATTATGCACTCAACGCTACAGCCAGACCAGAACTCAGGCGTGGTGCTCGTAAGGTGGCAGAAAATGATGCCAAGAAGCAGCACGTGATGGATCACATCAAAACGTTTACATGTAGGGCTAGCCATTATGGAAGAAGGGGAGCACCTGGCCGGAAATACCTACCCTGTGACCTCAGTGTGAAAAGAATGCACAAGCTATTCGACCAACAAAACCATGATGTAGTCAGCTACTCCCTGTATTACACTGTTTTACGACAGCACTTCAACCTTGGATTCGGGCATCCTGCCACAGATGCCTGTTCTTCATGTGCCAGGATTCAACTGAGAGTCAAGGACCCCAGCTTGACTGAAGAAGAGAAACGCAGTGAGTCTGCATCCTACATCCTACACAGGAGACGAGCACGGGTGTTCTATGATTTACTGGGGCAGGTAGATCATGATGCAGTGACCCTTTGCTTTGACATGATGCAGAATTTAGTACTCCCTAAAACCGCCATAGGTCCGGCATACTATTCCAGACAGCTATACATGTATCTCTTTGGTGTCGTTATTCACCATGGGACGGGAAGTAAGCAAGCAGTGGATGATGTTCATCTGTACACATGGATGGAGCATGAAAATAGAAAAGGTAGCAATATGACTGCTTCAGCTCTGGACCACTGTTTACGTCAACAGTTGAGTGGTGCTCTTCACCGCGCTCAGAGGCTGCGATTGTTCAGCGATTCTTGTTTTGGTCAGAACAAAAATATTAACCTGCTGTCCATGCTGTTTTCCTTTATGAAGGAGGCCTTTCCAAGAATCAGTGCTGAGTATGTGTTTCCTATAAGGGGGCACAGTGTTCTGCCCGGATCGTGTGTTTGGGAGGATTGAGCAACAGGTTCGAAAGAAGGATACCAGAGGAATACTACCAGATTTTGCGCAGTCATGGAAATGTACACGTCTATGGGCAAGACTGGGAGGCTTATGATTTCAAGACAGAAACACAGGCTTTTGTAA